CGGCTATGAAATCTTGCGTTAGAGCAGGATGGGGTGGGGAGAACAGACCCACTTATCCTTAATCAGTAAGTCCTTAACAGAAAGTCGCTCCCTTCACACCTCAAAGTATCCCTTTCCCTAGCCAGCTCTCCGGTCTATGTGCTTTCAATGCCAATGCTTTATCAATGACCTGCATCTATCTTTGGGATGGTCGATCCCTGCCTCACCTTCCACAAACTGCACCCCCTTTTCCAAGCCACCATGACACTTGATGTGGCCAAAATACTTCAACTTTGAGGACAGGATTGACAATATGCTTTTTTTTAAATATTTTTTATTTATACTGACCCACTGCTCCCCTAAATAGCATTTTTTTTTTTTTTAAGTCGACTAATTAGAAGTGTTTTCTTCGAAGTCAGAGTGTATATGGCTGAAAGGTGAGGAACCAACAGTCTGCATACAAATAAGCCACACTGTAAAACAGATGTGCATGTAAAACTCAAGGTCTGGAACAAGACAAAAGTCCAGAAGTGGATGAACAACCAGAACTTTCCATAGGAGTTTTCAACTGGTCAATGCTAAGAAGAAAACTACTCAACTATGATATACCCTTTCACCCTTTTACCACTTTCCACAAAGCAAACTTTCACCCTTTTACCACTTTCCACAATCCAAACTTTCACCCTTTTACCACTTTCCACAATCCAAACTTTCACCCTTTTACCACTTTCCACAATCCAAACTTTCACCCTTTTACCACTTTCCACAATCTAAACTTTCACACCCCAATAAGGATGCTTGCATTCTTAGTCAGCTTAAAAAAACAACACAGATTTGAAAATAGGTCTCAGCATTTCATCAACCCTTGCATAAAATAATAATAATAGCAAACTGTATCATGTACAAAAAACACATTAAATTAAACATGATAACTTGTACATAGGATGAACAAAATTAACTTAAACATCAACCACCAAAAAAAAAAAAAAACCTTAGGCACTTCTCTGACCAGCACAGATGGGTACAGGGATGTGCCAGGTAAGGAATCATACTGAACTAAGGCATAGAGATAATTAACTTAAACATCAACCACCAAAACTCCTGGCTAGTTCTTTCTCTAGCACAGATGTGGGATGCAGGAATGTGCCAGATAGGGCGTCATACTGAACTAAGGCATCTTTTTCATGGGGTGAGCCTTCACAAAGAACTAGTAAGGGATTAAAAATGTCCCAGTTCTAGGGCTCATTTAATGGATGGAAAGTAGAAAAGACCAGGGGATGAATAGTATGGGAGGATGGGGGAGGGAGGGAGTGGAGTGATAGACCCACTGCCCTCTCTGCCAAAAAACATTGTAAACGGCAACTTATCAGGGGTTTGATGAAACTGGATGTGCTGGGCCGAAAGGTGAAGACATCACAGCCCAGCTGAAAACCACAACAGAATATGCCAACCACCTTTTAAAGGGCAAATGCAGAAGGGAAAAAAACTGAGGTTGGCCACACAAGCAGCTGTTGTTAGAATTCTCTTTATTACCTCTGCAATATTTTTTTTTTTCATGTATAAACATGAGAGGATTAATGTCATTGCACTAGTTTTTATTATATCTGGCTCAGTCTCAATTGGCACACCAGCTAGCTATCTGCTGAGACAGATGCACAATGCATGAACTCCCCAACTTCACAGACAACCCCCAGAAGGATCTTCAAAAGACAACACAAAAAAAATTTTAATTTGTGAACCAAATGATGAAGTTGAAAAAAAAACAGCCTTTGAGAATGGAGCTGCCTGTGTGGGTTTCACAGGCCAATTCTGGAGGGAAAAAAAGAACATACCTACCCAACAAGCATGTGGCAAAAGTGAACTAATTAGGGGTGTTTCTTTTCAAGTCAGAGTGCATCTGCCTGAGAAGCGAGGAACCCACAGTCTGCGTACAAACAAGCCAGATCTGTAAAACGGATTGTCATCATCATGTGCTCTGCCAACTGGTGAAGGCGCTCATGCGTCTCCACAGATCACGATCCCTGGTTGACTGGAACAGCTCTCTTGATGATATCCCTTCATGCCATCATTTCAGCCCATCCAGCATCATCTCTCTTGGTCTGCCTCTACCCCTGTTTCCACTGATCTTTCCAGGTGTCACGATGTTCTCCAATGTGTCTCTTCTCATTACGTGACCAAAGAACAGTGTTTGTCTCTTTTTCATTGTTGTATTTAGAGATCTACTTTCATTAGCCTCTTTCAAGCAATCGCTGTTAGTTATTCTGGCCATCCAAGGTATTCGTAACATTCATCTCAGAAACCACATCTCTGTTGTTTCCAAATTCTTCTTAATTTTTTCAGTGACATTCCATACAGCAGAACAGGTTCTATGTAACATTTTAGCACCCTCTTTAAAAAACGGACATGCCCGCAAAACTAAAATTCCCCAACAAGACCAAAGCCCAGAAGCAGACAAAGAACAAGAACTTTCTGAGTTTACAGCTGGTGAACGCGAGGTGTAATGAGGAAAGACTGACTTAGGAATGATGATATCAGGAGGAGAGTCGACACCGAACCAAATCTGAACTTTATAGGTAGACAACAAATCAAATGATCTGGCCATGTAACAAGATTGGCAACTGACAGGGCACCAGTGAGAGCAATGTTATACAGATACAGTTTAATAGAAGGGGCCGCGAACTACAGGTTGAGAACCGCTGGGCTAAGGGAAAACCTGAAGTGTGTTGTTACAATAAACACGGAGAGGAAAAAGAGGCTACTGGAGAACAAAAGATGTTAACAGTTTGGCATCGTGACACTGAAGAATATCTGTATCAGAAATGATTGACAGCAAAACACACTAGACAGAAAGGTGTGCATAGACATGATGATAAACACTAAACAGCATGGACCATAAGGCTGTGAAACATTCACATGGGAGATCTGATCCCGGTTCTAACACAAATACATAAGAGATCTGACCCCCAGGCTGTGAAACTTCCTTATAGGAGATCTGATCCCAGTTCTAACACAAATACATAAGAGATCTGACCCCCAGGCTGTGAAACTTCCTTATAGGAGATCTGATCCAGGTTTTAACATACTCAGATGGAAGATCTAAACGAGGCTGCAGAGGTTAAGACACAAAGAAAAAATTGGGGAGGGGAGGGGATTCAAGGGGCATAAGCCATGTTTAAGAATGTAATGATGATGATAATGATAATAATAATAATAATGTGCTGAATGGCTAAGAAATAAAATATTTTAAACGAATGAAATGTATAAATGAAAATGTTAAAAGAAAAATGTCTATACTTTAGCTGGGGTGGGGTAGAAAGGTGGAAGAGCCTCAGTTCCATCTAAGAAAAAACTGGAGGGAAGGGGGGAGCTCAAGACCATAGGTTCTAATGCCCCTGCTGGGCTGTTAATATATTCACAGGGAAGATCTGACTGAGATTGTAACTTGGGAGGTTTGACCCCGGCTGTTTCATGGGAGATCCGACCCAGGCTGATACAAATTCATATCGGGAGAGGAGAAAAAAAAGGGGGGGGGGGGGGACATGGGAGATCTGACTCAGGCTCTTACAAACTCACATGGAAGGGGGTGAGGTCGGACTCAGGCTGCAGGACATGTACAGGGAATGTTTGATTCAAACACATGAGCACTGGTGGGCTGATCCGACTTCAGGCAGGACTTTGTAGCTACGGAAGATTTGACCCATGTTGTTATGTAAGCCCAGCAGAGGTAAAATGGAGATCAACAGGGACATGTGTGAGCGAGACATAACCTAACAGAGTCACACAAGGGACACAAGGAATGGAAACCCGATTGTGTGGGCACTCTTTTGAGGAAGTAAACAATATGTATTTTGTTTGTGTTTGTGCATTCCCCTTACATTCAGCATCCCTAACTAAACAGGATTCTTTTTTTTTCTGCTTTCGTCTGAAGATGTAAAAGCGTTGTGCCTGTTTACAGCATGGCTGCAATATTTGTACCTTTTGGCCGACACACCCAACTTCTGCAGGCATTTGTTGACAGCGTTAACCTTCCCGGAAAACAGGATTTAATGCTTGCGAGACAAGGTCCAGTGCAGTAGTAGCAGTAGTTTCTGTAGGTTATGTCTACTTCGCAGGCTGTCAGTAGTAATCTGGTGGATGATGTGCAGTTCAGAGGTTGTCTGTAGCTGTCTGCCAGATTAGGTCTGGTTCGCAGAGTGTCTCGTACCTGGCTGTTTAATTATAGTGTACAGGTTGTCTGTAGCTGTCTGGCAGATTAGGTCTGGTTTGCAGAGTGTCTCATACCTGGCTGTTTAATTATAGTGTACAGGTTGTCCAGTGTGTGGCAGTTTCATTCTAGTTCACAGTTAGTCTACAGCTGTCTGGTGGGTGATGTCTAGATAACACACTGTCTGTAGCTGTTTGGCAGTTTAAGTCTAGTTAACAGGTTGTCTCTGCAGTGATTTGGTGGGGGATGATGATGATGAAACCTAGTTCACAGACTGGTATGCTAATGTGGCAGCTTGTATCTAGTTCACATGTTGCTTGTAGCTAGCTTCTGTCTAGTTCACAGTTTGTCATAGCAATCTGACAATTTAACTCTAGTTCACAGGTCATCAGTACTAATCTGCCCGGCTTTTGTCTAGTTCAAATACTGTTAGTAGTCATCTGGGGCAGGGAGTTGTCTAGTCCTAGCAGGTCGTTCGACCAAGGTATGTCAGGTTAACAGGCTGTCGCAACAATCTGGCAGGGGTTGTCTAGTTCACAGTTGGTTGGTAGCAATTTGATGGGGGTGGGAGGGTGTCTGATTCAGTCTGTTGGTAGCAATTTGACGGGGGGCGTCAAGTTCACAGTTTGTCAGTGGCCATTCGGCAGGGCTGTCCAGTTCACAGGCTGTCAGAAGCAATACGGCAGTTCAAATCTGTAAGTTGTCAGTGTCAACGCAACTTCTGGCAGACCAGTTTCATGCTCAGCAACACTTTAATCGCTGACATGTAAACTGCCCATCTGCAGCTCCACGAGCCATAAGGTCAGTCACTTTGGGCTCATACGCTTGTGTCTGCCGACGGGTCTGCTATCCCAGTTTCCACATTTGCATCCTGGCTATCAACGTCCAAGGGCTGCTGAACATTAACAGCACTGTCATCGTTCACAGCGTCTGCAATATACTCAATCTGCGGTACCACCTGATGCTCATCTTCTCCAGGTATGTCACTGTCCACGGAATCAGAAACATGTCCAGGTGCGGGTAAAACCCAATTATCACCATCTTCACGAACGTCATTGTCCACGGAATCAAAAATACGCACAGGCTCAGGAACCACCCGATGATTACCGTCTCCAGACAACGCACTGTCCTCGGAATTTAAAATGAAAGCCGGCTCCTGTATGTCCTGGCCCTCACATTCTTCAAGTGCATCACAGCTAGCCGAATCTGAAATATGCGCAGGTTCTGGTACAACCCGATTATCCCGCTCTTCGTGCGCATCACTATCCACAGAATTTAAAATATTAGCAGGTTCCGGTACCACCCGAAAACCACCTTCTTCAGGCACGTCGTTGCTGGCAGAATTTGAAATATATGCAGCCTCCGTTATTATCTGGCGCTCAGAGACCTCAGGTACGTCACCGTCCACAGAATAGGAAACATAGACTTGCTCCGACAGGACCAGATGTTCACCTTCCTCAGGCAGATCATTATCATCACCTCCCCCACCAGAATATGGCACATCATCATCATCATGTTCAATGTCCCCTCGCACAACTGCCTTACTGATATCATTATCACTGGCGATATCCATGCTCTCTGATAGTGTATTGTGCTGTGACATCTGATCCTCATTGATACTAGATTCAATCAGCTGTGGACTGCCTTCCTCAACTACCATATCTACCGGCACTGCCGGCTCTGGGCTGACATAATCAGATGCAAATTCGCCATGCGGTCCATTGTGGTCGGGACTGTCAAACTCATGTGCAATGTCGCCATTAAGCCGAGCATTATTTGGATTGTACTGGAGCCCAGAAACATTGCCATTGGCCCCGCTTGGAGCCGGGCTGAAGTACGAAGAACTGCTGGACCAAGGTGTATCAGACCCGTTAACATCTGAGGAGCCGTAGCTCCGACTGCTGCTGCTGCTGCCGCTCTGAGACTCATAACTACTACTGTGGCTACTACTGCTGACTGACCTATTACTGCTACTAGTGCTAGTGTCGCTTCTTTCACTGCTTCCCCACCTTTCGCCATTGCTCTGGAAACCTGCAGAAATGTCACTGCTGCCATCACCACTATCAAGGGGGCCCAGGAGGTCCTCGCTGCCTGGCATGTTGAAAGAGTAGCCGCAGTTTGCATATGTGCGTGACGATGAAACATATGGTGAGTCTGAAGATGCGTAGGGGTAGTTGAAGTGATCGTACATGAGGCTAGCATAAGGCCCCCGCCGCATGCCGGTGAACTGCGGGTGGTGACACATGTTTTTGTTTGTGCTGCCACATTCCTGGCAGACCTCACGCACATCCACCTCTTCCACCACCACATTTGGAGTCTGCCTGTTATCACTTTTCGTGAACAGAATTAACGGTCGGCGGAAACCTGTTAAAAAAGGGAAAAAAATAGGTGTTGGCATTTTTTAATTATTTTTAATCGGTATGGTCTAAACATTTGACAATATTCAATACTTAAAGAAAAAAAATTATAAATTAAATTAAATATTCGTGGATTTTTATCATGATATGGGGCATCGAAGGTCAACCCAACCTAAAATGGGTACCAGGATGTATGTCTTCGGGAAGTAAAGAGGGCCAGAGTAATGCTGACCACATTACCCACCTAGTGCCAATTGGTCTTCAAAAATATGGGTGCTTTTCCCATATGCCCGGTGTCCCTAAAAGCGTGAAAAGGCATCTTTACTTGACTTTAAATTCTTCTTCTTTGCTTTTTTTTTTTTTTTCTACAAGACCCCATCAGCAGACCTGCTGCTGACACGCGAGTTCACAGAGGCAACCCACCTGATAGTCTGATCTGAACATTCAAAACCGAACACAAAAGAACCGAATGCAACGAATAAGAAGACATTACCAAATTAGGAATAAAGTTTAACAATAAATCCTCTTCTTATTTTTTTGCTGAAATAAACATAAACAACACACTGTTTTTTCTCAAACCTTCAGCTTTTAACCCATCTGCAATCATTTTTGTTTCCCTATCATTCTTTTCCTGATTGTTCCCCGTCAGTTAACATGATCCATGGCATCCTGTTCTAACAGATCCACTGCAATAACTGTATCATTCATATCCTGCTTGCACATATCTTCATATCATAGTATAGAAGCCAACTCCAAGATCTATCTTGGAAGATGTCAGCTCACTCAGTACCCAGTAAAGCATAATGTGTTCATTGTTTATTTTTCACATTGTACATATCACTGTATGGGTTCCGAGACCACACCCCAACAAGCATGTCGTAAGAGTCGAAAAAGTGGGGGCTTCCTTCGAAGTCGAAGTGCATCTGCCTGCGAGGCAAGGAACCAACAATCTGCACACAAGTAAGTCAGATCTGTAAAATGGATGTGCATGCAGCACTCAGGTTCTGAAACCAGACTAATATCCAGAGATGGACGAACTAGAACTTTCCGCCGGAGTTAACAGCCAGTAAAAATGAAGAAGAAGAAGACACTATAAATTTTCATAACTGTTATTATCTTATAAACTTGTTACATTAACACACGTTCTCAGCAGGAAGGTGGTACAGAACATTAACACATGTCCTCTGCATGAAGGATTGTGGTACAGAACATTAACACATGTCCTCTGCAGGAAGGATTGGGGTACAGAACATTAACACATGTCCTCTGCAGGAAGGATTGGGGTACAGAACATTAACACATGTCCTCTGCAGGAAGGATTGTGGTACAGAACATTAACACATGTCCTCGGCAGGAAGGATTGTGGTACAGAACATTAACACATGTCCTCTGCAGGAAGGATTATGGTACAGAACATTAACACATGTCCTCTGCAGGAAGGATTGGGGTACAGAACATTAACACATGTCCTCTGCAGGAAGAATTGTGGTACAGAACATTAACACATGTCCTCTGCAGAAAGGATTGTGGTACAGAACATTAACACATGTCCTCTGCAGAAAGGATTGTGGTACAGAACATTAACACATGTCCTCTGCAGGAAGGATTGGGGTACAGAACATTAACACATGTCCTCTGCAGGAAGGATTGTGGTACAGAACATTAACACATGTCCTCTGCAGGAAGGATTGGGGTACAGAACATCAACACATGTCCTCTGCAGGAAGGATTGTGGTACAGAACAAAGCAGAGAGGCACTCATAACCAGCTGGCAAATGAAACTATGGGACATCCACTGCACTTCAACATCTTGTGAGGGAGACTGAGCACAAAAGGAGCACGACCAGAGTACAATGCTGGTGCTTGTTAACCTGTGCAAAAGCCACTAGGCTACTAGAGGATTAGTGTGTGGGTGATGGATGACTGGGATGTATGTGTGCAAGTGATGAGTGACTGGCCTGTGTGTGTGGATGACTGGCCAGTATGTGTGGGTAACTGGCCTGTGTGTGTGGATGACTGGCCTGAGTGAGAGTGTGATTTAATAGTGTGGGTGAATGGAGATCTACTGGCGTAGGTGACCTGTGTGAGCGACGGTTGACTTACCAGTGTGGGTGAAAGGTGACTTACCTGTGAGTAGGTGACGGGTGACTCACTGGTGTGGGTGAAAGGTGATCTACTGGTGTAGGTAACTGATGACTGACTGGTGTAGGTAACAGGTGACTACCTGGTGTAGGTGACCTGCCTATGTGATTCAGAGACAGCTAATGTACTAGTGTGGTTGACATAGTGGTCGGGTTGACAGGTGACCTACTAGTGTGGTTGACATAGTGGTCGGGTTGACAGGTGACCTACTAGTGTGGTTGACATAGTGGTCGGGTTGACAGGTGACCAACTTAGTGTGGTTGACATAGTGGTCGGGTTGACAGGTGACCTACTAGTGTGGTTGACATAGTGGTCGGGTTGACAGGTGACCAACTTAGTGTGGTTGACATAGTGGTCGGGTTGACAGGTGACCAACTTAGTGTGGGTGACATAGTGGTCGGGTTGACAGGTGACCAACTTAGTGTGGTTGACATAGTGGTCGGGTTGACAGGTGACCAACTTAGTGTGGTTGACATAGTGGTCGGGCTGACAGGTGACTGACAAATAACTATAAAATGGAAACAAAAATTACACTGCAGGAGTTTCAGTTAAGAGCTGATACTGTGTGCACCGACTCACTGACCTTTTGATTTGGTTACTGGCACACCGACGACTTCACACTTGACAAAACCAATTGACAGCAGGTAATGCTTGAAACCCTCTGGTTTTAGTTTGATTGCCTGGTACTTTGCAAACATCTCCGGCTGTGAATGTAGACATAATATTTTAGAATAGTGACAATGTTTCATAAAATGAAAATGTATTATCATAAAATGTAGTGACAACAACACAGAGTGTAGATACAATGAGGTGCGAGTGACTGAGCGGTGACAAAGTACGGCTGCTATGCGGGAGACCCCGGGTCGACTCCCGGTAAGGCGATGAAGATTTTTTTTATCGGAGTTGCTCCATGTGGCCCTAAATCCTCAGACTCACCAGCCCTTGCCTACGCCGCCCTAAAAAGTGGTACATACAGATAGTATTGAGAGTACAAACAATGTCACAGAAAAAAGATACAGTATCAAAGGATATAGACAGCATATTATAGAAAGTAGATATCATCTAAGAGGATGTTGATATGTCAAAGAATTGTTAACAGAACATCCCAGAATGTAAATACATCAAAGAATGAAGGTACAATGTCACAGAATATAGATACAATATCATAGAATGAAGGTACAATGTCACAGAATGTAGATACAATATAACAGAATAAAGGCATAATGTCACAGATTGTAGATACAATACAACAGAATAAAGGCATAATGTCACAGACTGTAGATACAATACAACAGAATCAATGCATAATGTCACAGACTGTAGATACAATACAACAGAATAAATGCATAATGTCACAGAATGTAGATACAATACAACAGAATAAATGCATAATGTCACAGATTGAAGATACAATACAACAGAATAAATGCATGGTTGATACAATGTCACAGAATATTGATACAATGTCACAGAATGTAGATACAATGTCACAGAATGTAGATACAATGTCACAGAATGTAGATAAAATGTCACAGACTGTTGATACAGTGTCACAGAATGTAGATACAATGTCACAGACTGTAGATACAATGTCACAGAATGTTGATACAATGTCAAAGAATGTAGATACAATGTCACAGAATGTAGATACAATGTCACAGAATGTAGATACAATGTCACAGAATGTTGATACAATGTCACAGAATGTAGATACAATGTCACAGAATGTAGATACAATGTCACAGAATGTAGATACAATGTCACAGAATGTAGATACAATGTCACAGAATGTTGATACAATGTCACAGAATGTAGATACAATGTCACAGAATGTAGATACAATGTCACAGAATGTTGATACGATGTCACAGAATGTTGATACGATGTCACAGAATGGTGATACCATGTCACAGAATGTAGATACAATATCACAGAATGTAGATACAATGTCACAGAATGTTGATACAATGTCACAGAATGCTGATAATATGTCACAGAATGTAGATACAGTGTCACAGAATGTTGATACAATGTCACAGAATGTTGATACAATGTCACAGAATGTTGATAATATGTCACAGAATGTAGATATATGTCCCAGAATGTAAATACAATATAACAGAACGTAGGCAGTGTCACAGAATGTAAATACAATATAACAGAATTAAGACACACAAATAACTGAACGTAGACATGACATTACAGAATGTAGATATGATATCACAGAAAGTTTATGCGACACTATAAAATGAGATATGATTTCACAAAATGTATATGATGTATTATAAAATGTAGATGTTTTATCACACAATTTGGATATGATATTACAGAATGTAGATACAATGTCATGTAATTAACTTTTTTCTCTGATCACGTTATCATTTCACCAAAAGCAACTCTCTGCAACAGGTCACTAAAAGTGAGAGGAACCATTTCATTGCACCAGGCCTGATCCCTTCCAACTAGGCCATGTTGTAAATCCTCATCATCCTGAAAGTTGGCGTAGATGCTCATGCATCTCTACAGATCACAATCCCTGGTTGCCTGGAACAACTTTCTTGATGATATCCCTCTATCCCATCGTTTCAGCCAACCCAGCATTGCCTCTCTTGGTCTGGCTCTACCCCTCTTTCCACTGATCTTTCCAGTTGTCATGATGTTTTTTAATGCCTCTCTTCTCATTACGTGGCCTCAGAAACCACATCTCCTTTGCTTCAAAATTCTTCTAAATTTGTTCACTGACATTCCAAGATTCACTGCCGTACAGCAGAACAGGTTCTATGTAACATTTTAGCGCTCTCTTTCTGACATTAAATGAGAGCGACTTATTGCATTAGATATTTTTCATTTTCTGAAATGCTGCCTTCGCTTGACCTACTCTGCTTTTAATCCATCACACATATGTTATGAATACCCTCAATGAATTCTTAGCCCTTGGTTACTTATTTTTCAGCATTCTGGTACCTTGAAGCTCACTGCTGCAGACACCACCTGTCTGAGCTCAAGTCCAAAGTCTAAGCAATAACACTTCCAACCGCCCCCCTCCCATGGATCTCCCAAAAACTGTGCTATGACCAAAGCGGTCCCCATTGTTTGGGAACAGACCTGCTACTTCCTAATTCACATGTTGCAAAAGGTGAATAATTAATTAGGGTTCTGAAATCAGGTGCACTGGGCTAAAAGGTACTTCTGCTTTCATCGGGCAAGGTACAGACTTTACGCAATACCCCCAATAAGAATGTTGTAAAATGTGAATAACTATGAATCTGCTAAAATTGGGTGCAGATTTTGCCTAGTGTGCCGGCCACCCCTTTAAAGGCAAACAAAGAACACAAGCTTCAGAAAGCAAGTCACATGACTTCATTGCCATCAAGACCATCTAAACCAGTGGTCTCCAACCTTTTTCCAGCTGGCGCCCCCTTTAAAATAAAACACAGACAACTGAAATATTTTGTCTGGGAAGAGAGGAAGAGGAAGGTTAAAGAGAAGATGGGTGAAGGATGTGAAGGATGATCTCCAGACGGATGTATCAGACGCGGGACATCTTGCTTGTGATCAAGAAGTTTTCAGGAGGGTTGTTATGGGAGCAAGGTTCTGCAAAGGACATGCTACTGACTCACTGCCCCCCACCCTTGAATATATGAAAAAAGTCCCCACAACAACCCCATCTCCCCCCCCCCCCCCCAACAAAATGTCATTAAAAACAAAAGGACAAAAACAAAAATCCCAAACACTAATAACAAGAATCTGGAGAAAAACATTCACAAGAAACAAAGTGTCAAATAACACAAGAAACAATCAAACAAAAATTGGTAATTTAGTGCCTAAATTTCTGATAGTTGGCAGTTTTTGTCTAGATGAGCAGTTCTCAACCTATGGGTCGCAACCCTTTTTTTGTGTCCAGCGACCCTTTCACAGGGGTCCCCTAAGACCATCGGAAAAAAACATGCTCATTGAAATTATGTAGTAGCAATAAAAATAATTGTATATTTGGGGATCGCCACCGCACGAGGAACTGTATTCAAGGGTCGTCACATTAAGAAGTTTGAGAGCCACTGGTCTAGACGATATCTGCTATTTTTGGTCTGATGTTGGACAAATTAAAACGAAGATCACTCTCCACATCAAGCAGGCAATGCTATTTAGTTTTCATGACTGTTAAAGCTAACAATCTGGATTATAACCAGTGCAGAAGCACTCACATTCAAAATACCTGACGCCCCCCTTGAAATTTGTTCACGCTCCCCGCCCCCTAAGAGGTGCGCGCCCCCCAAGTTGAAGACCACTGCTCTAAACAAATAAAAGAACAATAGTAAGACTTACCGTCAACTTTGCTCGCTTCCTGTACGTGGACCATGGCTGGGGTTCAAGGATCAACCTGCCGCCTGGCCGCAACTGTCGAAAGATTTTCTGGAAGAACAGCTTGAGGCCATCATCTCCGCTGTTGAGGTGGATCCACTTGGTTATAGACAGGGCCAGAATAGTATCAAATTCCTCCTTTTGTAAGTTTAAGATCTCTTCACTGCCTGGCACGTAATTGCCCTGTGATTGATGGTGCGGGAAAATATTAGCGTTACAACTGAATATCACTTCTGACTGGGAGTGGGGGCCACGGGTCTACGGTTGTTAAAAAGCATGTCCTGCAAGAATGTCCCTTGTACAGCCCATTAAGAAAGGAATACTGGCCCAGTGAGACACTACTGTACACAAAGTTGTATTTATCACAAGAACTTGTTTGTTTAGGTTAAAGCAATGTTAATCTCCCCAAATAGAGAAGGTTTCTTTTCATTCACAAGTTTGTGGGCTAGTCGACTTTGCTGAAGGTTATGGGTGTGCCCCGCTCTGTTGTTTACTTTCTGTGTTGTCTTGCATTTACGTTTTCATTCCGAGAAAGAGAATGCCTGTGACATAGGTTGCAGAACACTCTCTAGGGGAGTTGCGTTAGTGCCAGTTGCTCCATGTTTTTGGAGCGTTAAAAGCACTGGCCTGCTGAAATATACAACAAGCTATATCAACGGTATTGCGGAACACCTCTCTGACCTTGTGCAAAGACCACGGGGCTCAGAAACTACCAATCAAATGTGACCTAGTGTGTGGACAGGGCGTAGGGAGATTAACGTTACGTGTTCCTCTGTGTAAATCATAAATCAAACACAAGAAGAAGAAGAAGCATGCAGTAAAAGGAACCTAATTAAGAGGCTGCTAGATTTAAACACGTGAATTTCAGAGTATGAGGCAGGTGGCTTATCTCAGAGATCCTCAGGACCTGGGTTGAATTTGTGGCCAGCTTACAATCCTAACACTTGTCCGTCCCTAGATGTGAGGTTCAAGTACTGGCACTGCACATCTTGACTGGTTTCTGAGCTTGGAGAGGGGAAGTAAATCTCTGCTACTCTCCAGAGAAATGGCACTGGTAAGGGCTCAGTAACTAGCCTCTATACCAGCCTCAATCCAATCATACATTAAGAATGATCGCAAGATGCACTGGCTGTATGTTTTCTAATTAACACCTTCTGGACGTCTTATGCTAAACCTCCCCCAGGGCTTAAAAGGGTTAATTGCCAAAGTGGAAATTTATGAATTTCATGATGAATCAGCGCTCGGCGGGTTGAGTTTGGAGCTAACAACTGACATCACGGCACTCTGAACATTCCTATAAGTGGTCCGTCCGTCATTTTCAGGAGCCAGTGAACACTGCCTCCAAATGAATTACATCAACGGGTGATGTAATCAACCCCCTTTCCTCCCAAGGAATTTATGGTATCCATTTTAGGCTAGGTCAACCTAACAGCATTCAGGACATTCCCCTAAGCGCTCCATCCTCATCTTCAACAGCCAGCAAACAGTGCTTCTACAAGTTATGATGAAGCAACGAAAATAATTTGTATGGTTGGGAGTCACCACAACATGAGGAACTGTATTAAAGGGTCGCAGGATTAGGAAAGCGGAGAACCACTGCTCTACATAAATATTAACATCAATGAGTGAAGTAATCAACTAGCTTTACTTCCCAAGGGCATTTCCTGGCACCCATTTTAGGCTAAGTCAAACTGAGAGCCCCAAATCAATTACTATAAAACCCATTTAGATGCAAATTTTAAACCAAGATATTCTGGACAGGAGGCAATCTCAGTGAATTTAAGAGAAACCTAAGTAACAATAACAGTAGACCACATTTTTTTTTTTTTTTAAATGCATGCTTACCTGTAAGAACAAGACATTATTTGGAAAATTATCCGACAACCCCATCAATGGATGAGCTTCTCGTGGACCCCGTATCATCTCAAATGAGGTCGGATACTTGGATGAATCCTTCCTCCTCAGACTCAGCATGTGCCGGATATTCTGCCGAGCTGCCTGGATAAGCTTCCCATCAATGTCCATCCCCAGAATTTTGTGTGGCTGGAAATGCTCTGCGACTGCCAGGGTTATGTGCCCCACGTTACAACCAATATCTAGAACATCTCTGCCCTTGAACCAGGATGGATCAAAATACTGGAGACGAGGGTCTGGCACACTGTCTTTGTTTCGGTAACCATAGTACCTATTATAATTTCCCAATGTAAACTTTGGTTTCTCTGGAAACTTCTTGGGTTCATTAGGGCCGGCTTTCCCTTTTCCACCACTCAACTGCCGTCTGAACTTTCTCTCAGGGCTCATACTAAGTGACCTTGATCGTGACCTTCTGGAAATTGGTACAGGCAGTTTAGTTGGTGTGGTCGATACATCCATGGTTTTAGTTTCAAGATCCTCTTTTGCTCCTTGCTTGACTGCTTGCGGTTCAGACTGTGGCACAGATGCTTCCATTGCCGATTCTTCTACTGAATTAACTGTGCACAGCTGTGCAGCTGCAACGGTTTCTGGCACAGTTTGATGACTGTCATCATTTTTCTTTTTCTTGGACCTGTGCCGTTTCTTCACTGTTGAATTCAGCATCTTGTCAATCACACTCTGATCATGTTTCCCTTCCAGATTCAGTGGATCTTCAATGTTTGGTGGAACTTTCACATAAACAATTTTCCTAAAATCCGGCGTCCGCAAAGGAGAACTTTCAGGTGTCTTTGAATTCAACAGTCTCCCCTCCTCACTATGTGCTAAGCCATTCAGGTTCAGTGGGTCATGTGCATCTCCACCCATCAGCTCCCACTTTGGCATATGGTCTCTCTTGGGCCTGGTATCAACGGACACCAATCTCTTTCTCTTATAAACTGGGGCATCCTTATCGTGTGGCCTTCCAACATTTGAACTCAAAGACAGCCTTCTCTTTCTAAACTTTGGAAACGGATCTGGCAACCCATCTATTTTCAGATTCTTCTCCAACAATGCATGCTTCCTTGTCAACTCCCTCAATTCTTTAGACATAGGCAATGTCTGTGGTCTTGGAAACATCGTTTTTCCTTGGTGACTGATGTGACCTCGATTCCCCTTTTTCTTCTGAGGCGACTCAATCTTTTTAGCGGACACCGGCTCAGACTCATAATTCCTCTCTCCGTTTGAAGACAAGTCCTGCCTGGAATTACTATCACTATCCACCACGGAAGACACAGTCGGGGGGATCGTATCCTTCACCTGGAAGGATTCTACGATTCCCAGATGCCCCTCCTCCCTTTCTGTAGCAGAATTAACACACCTGTTACCTTCAATATGTTCATAAACCGACGGGAGCGGCGACGACTTAGTTTCACCACCATATTCCGATGCCTCAACACTGGGTAATTCTTCCATAACTTCTCAGGCGTGGTGACGAAGACGCTGCTCATCACAGGTCCCACCCGTCAGAAAGAACGTAGAAAAGAACGAGAGAAGGAGACCTGGGGAGGTAAACAACCCACAGCGCCGTCTACCTTCTTCTTGTGTCCACTAGATCACGATATCAGCACTTGAAAAATAATTTTATAAACGCTCTGACTCCAAGCTGCTATGCACAAAAGCAACCTAACTGAATTACAGAAACACTTATAAAGCTAATATTTCACACAAGTCGTTCGAACCGGGCTAGAAACAGAAATATTTGAGGTTTTGAGGCCGACGTTGTCCCAACGACTTCTTTCCTCGCAGTTATTTCTGCTGAATGTTCTACGCATGCGTTCTGGCTGCATTGTGGGATATGGCTGTTTCCGGCATGGTCTACTCTTCTATGGAGAAATGGAAGACAATGTTATATATATATATATATATATATATATATATATATATATATATATATATATATATATATATATATATATATTCAAACTTCTTCTTCTTTAAAAATGGTTGCCACGTTGTGTTAGTGTTTGAGCTAGGATGCGATATCTCCGCATTTCTGCTGAACACCAACAATTTCACCTAACTGCTCATTAGTAGTCTTTTACGACATGCTTATTATGGAGCAGTCGACTTATTTCCCTATGCGGCCCCTCCCCCTGCCCCCCCCCCCCTCTCCTGAAACCTTGGAACCCACACAAGGTTGGGAAAAAAGGCCAAGATCAACAGAAATGTCTGAAAAACTATTTATATTAACGTAGAATTAAACAGTTATACTTTGATGAGAAGAAGCGAGCAGAGAATCATCGAACAGGAACTGAAAAGAGAAACAAATTGATTGAGGACACGAGAGCGTCCAGGAAAAGCCTTGAAACACTAATAAAATGTGATAGGTCCAAGTGACCCAGAAACTCCAACTACAATCAGCATTCAATACAGATGGAACCAGATCAAAGAAACATACAAATCAACTAGCAATAAAATATTAGGAACCAGGAAACAACACCACAAAGAATGGATAAGTAGTCAAACCATGGACTATATTGCCAAGCGAAAAAGAATAAAGAGCCTCATAAATCACACTAAATCAGAACGTCAGAAAGACAAACTAAAGTTAGAATATAGCGAACTAAATAAAATGACCAAGAAAAGTGCCAGAGCTGACAAGAGAAGATTTATGGAAAATCTTGCAGAAACAGCAGAAAATGCTGCTAAAGCACATGATCTACAAACCCTATACAAAATTACCCAGCAAATTTGCGGAAACAGAAATAACTATCAAAGCATACCCATCAGAGATAACCAAGGCAGACTGCTCACCACAGAACAAAAACAAGACATGCAGTGGACTAAACACTTCTCTGACCTCTTGAACAGACCTGATAATGAAAATACCCCAGAAATTCAACCAGCCTCTCAGGACATTGACATTATTACTGAACCACCAAGCAAACAAGAAATCCTTAAAGCTATCCACACTTTAAAGAACAACAAAGCACCAGGCAAAGACGAATTGTCAGCAGAACTTCTCAAAGTAGATCCCAACACAACTGCTAGCATTCTAAAACCATTGTTCAAGGATATTTGGGAAAAAAGAAGTGTTGCCTGATGACTGGACTGAAGGAACAATAGTCAAAATCCCCCAAAAAGGAGACTTAACAGACTGCAATAATTGGAGGGGAATTACTCTACTCTCAGTACCAAGCAAAATATTTTGTAAAATCATCATAATGAGGCTTGAAAAAGGAGTAGATAAATGACTACGAGTGGAACAAGCAGGATTAAGAAAGAGCAGAGGAACAACTGAGCACATCTTCGCCATACGGAACATTTTAGAACAATGCAACGAATGGCAGAGAAGTATATATATTAATTTTGTGGACTTTGAGAAAGCTTTTGACAGCGTCCATAGAGACGGTCTGTGGAAAATTTTACGACATTATGGAATTCCAGAAAAAAATAGTCAACATAATTGCTCTCTTCTATAAAGACTTTTCCTGCAGTAAAAAAAATGACAATACATCTTTCCCAGTAAAGACGGGTGTAAGACAGGGATGTGTTATGTCATCTCTCCTCTTCAACCTTGTGATTGATTGGATACTAAAGAACACAGTAGACAGGACATTAAGAGGCATACGATGGACTCCATTCACCATGCTTGAGGACCTTGATTTTGCAGATGATATAGCACTCCTATCACATAAACATGAACAAGAGAAAAGTAACAGACTAAACTGCACAGCAGAAATGGTGGGACTGAGAATAAATACAAAGAAAACCAAGATCATGACAAACAGTCAAAACCAACAACCAGTGACCATAAGTAACCAATCACTTGAAAATGTAGAACATTTCACGTATCTTGGCAGTGTGGTGTCCCTACTGGGAGGGACAGAGGAAGACATACAGTCACATCTGAACAAAGCAAGAGCTGCTTTTGGAAGGATGAGGCAAATCTGGAAATCCAACAATTACTGCAGAGGAACGAAACTCCGACTCTACAAGAGCATCATTTTGCCAGTTCTTCTCTATGGAGCGGAATGCTGGAGAATGACCAAAAAGGATGCACACAAGCTGTCCACCTTCCACCACACATGTCTACGTAGAATTATCAACATTTTCTGGCCAGATACAATCTCAAACACTAAACTACTTCCAACCACAAACCAAGAAACTTCAGACAGTATGATTACCAAGAGAAGATGGAAATGGCTTGGCCACGTTATGAGAATGACTTCTGATATACCTGCCAAAACAGCTCTCACGTGGACACCAGAGGGAAAGAGAAAACAGGGGCGCCCAAAAACAACATGGAGACGAACGATGGAAAGTGACCTGAGTGCGGCATCTTTGACATGGAAAACTGAATTGAAGATTGGACAGGACAGGAAAGCATGGAAAGTCCTCTCTGAAGCCTCATGTGCCACTAGGCATAACGAGAACTGATGATGATGATGAGAGGATCCAAGGTGGTGGACTAGATTATATCCATGATATCGAAAGAATAACACAAGATAGAGTGGAATGGAGGAATGTTGAATTATAAATCAACATCACAGCACTCTGGACACTCCCATAAGTGCTCAATCCCTATCTTCAGCAGCAAGCGAAGAGTTCCAATTCCGATTGTACCAGTAACCGTCTGATTGTATAGAGTGGAATGGAGGAGTAACCTGCTAGCGCCGTGTAGCATGTAATGCCACAACATGATGATGATGTTGATGATGATGATAATGATGAAACTTGAAATTTCCTGAAACAGTGAAAACAGTAAAATTATTAGAGAAAAAAACGAAAACAATCAGTATTTTCTTAAAATATATGCTCAAGGACTATGTACACAACTTGCAAACTTGATGGGAAAAAAGCAAGAGGAGTACAAATAAAAGTAAATACAAGTAAATACCTGGATGGCATTAGCGGACAAGAACACAGGCTTGGTTTGCGATTCTGGTGATTGTGTGAGATGGTCAACCGTGAGAAAAGTGCAGACGTTAAGGGATAGAGAAAATAGATGCCACAAAAGCAAGGAAAGACAAGGAGATAAATAGCTTGATGACGTTGGCGGTACAAGAACACAGGTTTGATATGTGTTTTCTGTGATAGTGTTGGATGGAGAAAACATAATCGCATATGCTTAATGGAAGGTCAATGATGGACGTCTGGTCCAGTGTGGCCGATCATAGGCGTACCTTTGACGCTCTGAAAAGTTTGTATATCTAAGCAGAGTTCTCCCGTTTAGTTACTGAGTTGAGTGCTTGGTGCGACATCATCTATCTATCTCTTTTATCATACCAGGACATCACACAAGCGACAAACACCAAATGACCCAAGTGCCACCATGTGGATGAGGATCACCCGTGGAGAGATCCCAGAAACCGCGTTCAGCCATTAGACCACATTTATGGCCGGGCTGTATTGCAACCCTCGGCAAGAGCCAGGGTGGGGCTTCAAAAAACGAACAGTTTCATCCCACAAGGGATGACAAGATATAATAATGTGACATCATTGTGAGTTGTCGGCGTGATGCTGACCACATCACCTATCTTGTGCCGATTGGTCTATAAAAATATAGGTCTAGCCCTATATGCCCTATACGCCATAAAGGCTTGGAAACGGGACCTTTTTATTGTGAGTTGAATATTTTATAAGGAATGGTTCCCCCCTGACTGTTTAGGAAGCAATGGCAAACTACTGCCAATAACTGTCCTTATTACCTCTTTTGCAGTGCAGACGGGGGGGGGGGGTTGAGCCTGAGGATTTATGACCGCATGGCTAGTGCTGTCGCCACGACTGTGCAGGTGAGGCATTTATTTTTCTCGCGACATAAAAAAATAAAAAAATCCCCAGCCTTACCGAGGATTCGAACCCGGGTCTCCCGCTTGAGAGCCCAGCGTTCCAGCCGTTCAGTCAGCTGTTTCACATGGCAAACTACTGAAAGTCAAATTTGCCTACAAAACTTCAGTATATAAAAAATGCTGGGGTTGGCTCTGCAACGTCATGTAAAGGATACGCAACTAACTTTTAAAATGCGTTTTCCTACCATGAACGAAAGGATCAGGATCTGGAAGCGCATGGGCGTTCACAGCCCACTCAGTGGGAGGAACAGTAAAAGAAGCCGACGGCGCCTTCTCCATGACAACCATTAGCATTACGATTGAGGTGATGGCAGTAACGTAAGCGTTCCAGTGCTCTAAACACAAAAACATAAAACTAAACCCGTGCATGTGTAAGTGTTTCAACGAGTATGGTCCGGAGGGTTCAGGCAGGTTCGGTGCTAAGGCAGCGGCTTGTGTCACTCGGAAGTCCACTGTGCGCGGAGTCACCGTTATTTTCTTTACGGGAGACGCTGGCGTCGATGGAAATGAAAGGGCTAATAGGTTGGCTGGATCCGCTATCACTATCGGCGGTCAGTCTTTGGATCATGCTGATATTATTAATGCCCTCCGAGAAATGGGAAGGGTGGAGGACTTTGGGGG